ACCGTCTTGTGGTTGTTCGGATTTTAATACATAATACTTTTTGTAATAAATTTAAATAAAAAGTGTTACTTAAATATCTAAACAATTTATAAATTCAAATGTTTAAACTAATTGATAAACAATTTATAAATCTCTATTTTATTTAAATATGTAATTTTATTTAAAATAATTTTTCATGTAACAAAATTTGTTTAGAAAATCGTATCGATCTTACCAGTCCAACATACTGGTGTTGGCGGATTCAATAGCAAATATTTTATTCAAGCGCACTAAATCGGTTATAAACCGGTTCTCGGTCCATCCGGTCGGACTGTGTCCAACCCGGTTTAATTTATAAATAATGCGTAAATCATGATTATTGTTATTTATTTATTTAATTTATAATACAATCAAAATATTATTTTCCCGTGCATCGCACGGGCCACGTACTAGTTGTTAGTGATATGAATAATATTAAGAATGATGAAGTTGAGTTAGATTTTAAGTATAAATTTAATGTGAATGAGATATTTTATAAACAAGCATCTCCTAAAATTGGGATATCCTGCCGACAAAATGCCGGTGCGGGCCACCCACCGGGGAGTGACGCCGGCCCTGGCCCAGACGAGCCGAGGAAGGGAGAGAGAGATCATTGGTGAGATAAAAACTTGCTGCCTGTTAGAATTTTCAGAATTTGCAGACGGACGTCAGGGAGAAAAAGTGGGGGCCCAGTTGCTGAGGATTTATTCCTGGGCTTAAATATCATTCAAAGAGTTGTCCTATTTTAGTCCAATTCCATTCATTAAATGTGAGAATGTAATGTTTGACATGATGGAATAAGAGGGAATCATTTATGATTCTTCATAAGGTCTTTGTTGAGGGATGTATTATATCAGAATATTAACATAGTTATATTAGACATTTCAATTTTTGTCTTGTCATTAATAGATTCATTAATCTCTACACATCAAATCCCACATTCTTATGATATTGTATACCTAATAACTTCAATCTTAATTGATAACTATTATTCCAATTTTTTTTTTTTTTTATGATCACAATACAATTATTATTTCACATATGATCCAACATTTTTATTATCGGATTACTAACCCTCTCAATAGCTATTTCACGTATAACCTCAATAATGGATTAATGATCCTAACACTTTTATTCATCAAATTACTCACACACTCACCCCTAAATACTCGTAGAATGAAATTAACCCTTTTTTTCTACTATTTTTTCACCAAAATACTAGGATTTGGCGTTGCAAATTCGAGAAACTCCTCATCATTATCCAAAATACCAATCTCATCCTCGCCTAACAGCACCCAAAGCTCAATCTCCCCGCAGTTCCTCCCTTCCAAAAACATCAGCTGGTACTTGGTCCGGGCCCGGCCCGCGTCACCCATGTGGGCCACCCACATGGGCCTCCCCCACCCAAAGTCCAGATCGTAGAAGCCATTATTACACCAGCTCGAGAACTTGTAAACCCTAATCCCCGCCTTCACCACAAGCCCCAAATTCTCGTTCAGCACCCTCGCGGCGGACTCCGGCCCCACCGCCCGCAGATCCTCGCCGTGGACCGCGTCCAGCGCCTCCCTCATCGCCGCCACGTGGTCCGGAATCCGGGGCCCCTCCCCCTCCTCCGGCGGGCCACAGACGACCGCAGCGAACCATGTGAAGTTCCCGAAGGCGGCCTCCGGCAGCGGCGGCTCGAACCGCCGCCGGATGTTCACGGCGTGGCTGACGACGGCCGGCTTCCCCAGGCCGGCGACGATTCGGCCGGAGATGAAGCCGGTGAGGGCCTCCACGCGCGACGGTCGGGGGACGGCAGCGCTGGCGGCCTTCTCCCTCAGGGCGGCGATGGCGGTGGGGGTGAGGACGAACCTTCTGGTGATGTGGTGGTCCCGGCCGTCGGAGAAGAAGTGCCTCGCCTTGTTGGACAGGTAATCGGCGGGGAACGACGGCAGCGGCGGGAAAAGGGTGGCGCCTAATTCTAGGTCAACGGCGTCGTAATTTTTTGGGTCTGAATCGCTTGTGAGCCCACAAAGATCTGCTCGGTATAGAAATATTTTTTGGGTGTATATCGCTAGTCTAATAAAATGTAGAGAAATACTTTTACATAATAAATGTAAATGTATATGGAGTTATATATAACACATGTAGAGTGGGGTTCACTTGAGTAGTGCGGTCCACTTGATTTTTTATTTTTTTGTAGGTTCCCTCAATATGAGTGTTACGTACATTCTTATGTACAATATTATGTACATATAACATTTTTCAATACTTTTTGGGTCGAAAATGTATCATCACAAATTATGGTATTAAATAAAATATTTTTATAATTTTCGTAAATCAATGTATTAAATTTAACGACCACCAAATAAATACCACAACTCACACTACAAACGAATAAGAAAAATGAAAGCTCCCCACAGAAGAATACACAAATCCCCGCAGGAGAATAACACAACTCCCCAAAGGAGAATACACACTCCTCCAAAAAAGGAGATAACAAAACACAATTCACAAAACAACGCATCAAACACCACATAAACACAAAACACACAAAAATCAAGCAACACAAAACACCAAATAAAACAAAACACTAGACTAGAGCCCTTCCCACGGCTTGATAATGCACCAAACAGACCATAATGGTGACACCAACAGACGACCACTAAATTGGACCGGACCAAGGTCTTGATTGCAAACCCAGAAACTGCAGCATAGGCCTAACCAGATCTGAAACCGAACCCCTAATCTCGCGCCCAGCAATCGTCCTAACCCCTCAGCCAGAGGAGGGCGGTAGAACCCAAGACACACCACCGCCTCTCCAAGCCCAATCCACACCACGGCTCGGGCTCGGCACGCCGGCCATCCTCTCCTCCCAAGCACCATAGGAGAAGAAGACCTAAGGGAAAACCAACCACCTCTATGTCGACACCAACACAAGGCTGCCGACACCACCACCCAACCCCGTAAAAGCACAGCAGCCCGCCTCGCCTCGGCCATGGAATCCGGCGATCAACTCACCGAAAAGGCAGCCATGGAGTCGCGAGATCCCGTCGGTCCCGGCCAACCGAGCTCCATCGACCGAGAAACCGGGCCTCAACATAAATAGGGGCCGAATCGTGTGGCCTTGGGATGTCCACCGTCAAGGTGCCCGGCGAATCCGCCGGGGAAGGCAGCAGATCTGCAGGAGTTGCGCCTGAGAGAGAAAAGGGGTTTTTCTGTAGAGAGAGAAAAGGGGGTTTTTTCGACGAGGTTTGAGACTCTAAATCGAGTTGCTAACTAGCTTTTCAGCTTTCAAAGTTATTTTTAATTTTCCGACTATATTTTCCAACTGGAGCAAAAAATAATATTTTCCACAAAAAAACATAACAAATTGTAATTTTATTCAACAAAAAATCGATATATATACCGGCCCATGACTTGAGAAAATTGGACATCGTCTTAATATCGGCAATCATGTGATAGAAGCAAGCCCCAATCACAAGCCCGCCGGACGAAAAAATTGACACCTGGACTGCCACCTGGAAACCGAGCCCCTCCTCCAACGAGTTGGCCTCGACCGGCAAGAACTTGTTCAATAGATTAAGGTCGGGTTTCTCTAGAAATTCCGAGAGAGCGAAATTTGTTTTGGCTTCAGTGTACGAAACCCCCTTGTCATTGCACTCGACACTAAACATGCCCTTGATTCGGCCCGCGAGAGGGTAATATCGGTTTAGGGTTTTTGAGAGAGAGCTCTTGAGACGGTTGTGGGTCGTGGGTCGGTCTTCTGGGTCGGGTTGGGTTTCGTAGAAAACGGTTAAAGGAATGTAAAACGGAACGGACGTCTGGTCGATGAAGGAGGGTTTGAAAGTCTTGAGGTGGTGAGGGGTTGGGGTGAAGGGTTTGATGGTCTCTTTTGAGAGGATTTGAACATCCATTTTTTTCGTGTGTGTGTATGTTTTTTATGTGTTTTGTGGTTTTAGTTGAAGAAACGTTTTGATGTGTGGCTTTTGTAGGGTTGTGATATATGGTGATATGTGGGGTTTGGCAAGTAGCAAGTTATTATTGCATGCATATTTTCACATCTTTGTAGAAAATAAATAAGTAAATGATGCAGCCTAATTGTTAGGCTGGTCGACTCATCGTATATTTGTTACAAAATGTATATTTGTGTTGTGAAATGTCATACTTTGTTTATGTTTTTTTTGTAGATTATGACATTTTAATGTGAAAATATATAATATGATCTGTTCAAAAATTATGAATGTTTAACCATTAAATGTGTCTAACAGTAGATTACTGTAAAAAAAAAATATAAGAATGGTGTGTTACATATTAATAAAATAATAAAAAGATCTCTAATAAAAAAAAAAACTAATGAATTTATAACAATTTTTTTTAAAAAAATTTGCTATAGACCATTTGTAAAAATGAATGGTAGGATCTGCATAACTAAATTCAAAAACCTTTTTTTGTGTTGCTACTAGATTCAATAACTCTTCATATTTATGGTATTAATATGGTAGAAGAAATTAATCCACCATGCTACATCAAACTAGCCCATTCTAAGTATAGCTGCTAACAAAGGAACAATAAAATTTTTCATATTTTATTCTTTTGAGGCGTGCTAGGCCGAAGGTCCGAATGTGAATTGAATTAACGCAAGCGCACAGCATCCGTGTATTTATGAAGTGCCTAACTATAACTTACTCACGCAATTATTACACATAATCTACAAATAATATAATTCTAACAGATATATATTACTTAAATATTGGTGTGCATTCAGATAATTATGGCATTTGAGTTAAAATTATGTGCATCTAAGATTGCTCAAAACTAAATAATGTACTTAAAATTTATATAAAAAATGGAAAAAAAGGTTAAGTTTACATACTAATGAGGTGGAAGTTGATTGGCATTTGATTTTGTATAAAAGACGACATAATTTTGAAATGATGAAATTATTATGTTACTCAAAAGTCTACATAAAAATACCACTTTTCAAAAATCAGAGGTATGATTGGACAGGCGTGAACATAAAGCCCATATAATTACAAAATTTTGAGATAAAAAATTATAAATTTGTAACTAAAATGAAAAATTATCGCCATACCTTTAGCACTGAAAAGTGCATGCGATACGTTTATTCTACGATTGGCCACTTTCTAATAAAACACACAGAATCAGTCAATCAAAAATTTTAAGCCAATGAAATATCGCCACGCACAACACTTTCTGGAGAATTCTTCTCATCGAATAATATTTCTCTTTATAAATTCACCCAAAACGCTTTGATCCTATGAATGTAACTTCATTTTAACCAGTATCCTGGTATTGATAGTGGTTTATAGATTTTATTGTTCTTTTTATTTTTTCTTATATTTATGGAGAAGATTATGATTTAAGCTTCTTTGATATATTTATGCATATTTTTATTGAGTGCCTTTTTGATGCGGTCACCCCCTTTTTTTTGCCATTTGGGTTGAAATAATATTCTATATTGTATTTAATTATTTGAGTTTTTCACCCAAAAATCACCTTCATTTTTGTAAAAAAATCATGATTTGTTAACTTTATTTTATTTTAAAGCTTCACTGTCTTGTTGATGGGATTTATATTTTTTGTGCCCACTCAATTCGTAACCATGAAGCAAAATAGACTTCAAACCGCACAAATGATTTTCTGCTTAACTCTCTACTATAGCAGCAGTACTTTGTGTGGTTGAGTACATGATTTCTCGTTTTCTGGAATTTATATTTGAATTTCACTTTTTGGATATTTATGAATTTTTCTTACTGAGTATTACAAAAGCGTGAATATATATAATTATGTAATTGTGTACGCATATAAATTGTTATTTTTATTCTATCAAGAATTTAAATTTCATTATTTTATAAATGATTTTTGTGTATGAACTATGAAGTAATATTCTAAAAAAAAATACAGATGTTTTGTATCATTTTACACACATGATAAATGTATGTGTGATTTCAAACGAGCAAATTCTGTGTTTCCTTACATTGGTTATTTTAATTTATGGGTTTTAGATGTATATAAAACTTCAGCAGTAAACAAAGGCCCAAACTGTTATATGAGGCTGTAAAATTTCAGCCGAGGCCCATTTATTTTGAAGCCCAATAAGTTAATCACTTATTTAGTTGGGCCATCGTGATCTCCTGTCCGGCATTTTTAATTTCGAGTGCCAGTGGAAAGGGTTTATGCCAGCAGCAAAGGAAATAATAAAAACACTGTTGGGATGGATTTGTGGAGCTTTTTGTAGTGGATAAAGTTGATTGGTTGTTTTATGTGCAATTGCTATCAAATCAAATCTACATATTCAATGGCCTCGAGCATGCCGAGTGGACTTCACATATTTGATGACCCTCCCACGGGGGTGAAACCGTGGCTTGAACATGATGTTCTAGGGGTATCTTACCCTCGTAATATCGTAGTCTAAGGCACTCGCCTCCTTATTTGTACCAAAAAAAAAATCTACATACAATTTCATCTATATCAATTGTTTTTTTTTTTTTCAATCATTCATCAATATATATAGACAATTGTTGGGTAAACATTAAATAAAACTTATTTAATTATATCTATGTGGCACTTTCCCGCTAAACAATGTTACTGACCAACATTAACAATTTTTTTACACTAATTATATAATCTGGACACTAATCATATCATAATAACTAGTATGTGTCCGTGCGATGCGAGACATATATATTAAATGAGTTATTTTCACATGTTTTGTCCGTTAAGTCTAAAAAGCAATAGAGTTATCATCTATTTTTCACTTTTTTTAGTCAAGGTTAAATCTAAAAAATAATAGAGTTATAATCATTTTTCTACATCTTTTAATCATCGTTGTTTCTTTAGCCAAAACATTAAATATGAGCATGTTATGGCTAGTTTGTAAAATAATTAATATATTATCTCACTAATACATTTATACTAATATAAATTTGATTTTAGTATATATATTTATTATTGATATAATGAAAAATAACCGTCTTATTTATTCTTGTTCACCATATAATACTTATTTGTTATTTTATTATAAATTTTGTTTTCATATAATGTCATTATTATTTATAAAAGTTATAGAAGTTGGTCTTCTTTGTCTTTTTATTTTATGTAATGAAAAATATTTAATGCACATTAGTATTATTTATTTATGTAATCAAATTAAAATATGTAAATAAATTTCAAATTAAAGAGTTTATAAATATTTTACAAAATATACACACATGTTTTTTTAGAATTTAATTTTGTATTCTAATTAAACAACCATGATTTAACAAATGCCAAAAACTCAATCCTTTCTATAATCAATGATAATTGTTGTCAGAACGTTTGGCCTTCTTTGGACACTTAAGACATAAGAGGTACTACCAATTTTGTGATACATTTATAACTTTTGAGCATACCCAATGCTCCCTAACCTAAAAAACATATACATATATATTTTTATTGTATGAATGAGATGTCAAAGGAACAATTTAAAATCCAAAATAATTTTCAAGAGTGAATAATATCACATCATATCTAAGTGAATATACCATCTTCCCATCGACATGGTAGTCAACCGTCCTAACATCAATATTTACAGTCGTCAATTCCTCAAGTTCAGGTTTTTTTTTACACAACATGCTCAACAATTATCGAACCTTCGACAATACTCAAAAGCTACAAAAAATTCATATCATTAATTAACTGGAATAGCAATAGTAGCGCGGAATAATATTTATTGAATGAAATATATTAATCATATAACTAAAAAAAGTTGATTATTTAAATTATATCAAACTAAGAGGACAATCAAGTTACGTGGGACAAATAGGTCAATATTATACATTATTTGCGATAAAAAAATATATTACCTATATTTGTAGGCTTGTATTTGCGGCACAAAAATTCCAGTCTCCGCCCTCGTGGCATTATAGAAGTTGACAGTGGTACAATCTCTAGAGATATGATAAAATTTAAATCATATGTTAAACTTTACTATACGAGAAAAATATCGAATAAAAATATAATCTTACTCCCATGATAACTCTCCCATATCTTTGCACGACACATTTGAAGAATCACTACAGTTAAAGGGTGATCGTAAGTGTTAGCATAAGTTAGGATATCATTGATATGGTGTCCTTAAAACGAAATATATTTAAGATCAAGAATGATCTATTAAAAATATTTAGAAAGTCTAATCTATTTATAATAATAATAATAATAATAATAATAATAATAATAATAATAATAATAATAATTTACTAAAAATAATAGTAAAAAATTTTAGGAGCATTTAATGCATACTTTTTTTTTAGAAATTTTTTAAATATATGCATTAATTGCTTCCATATACGTGTTTTCAAATAGGATCAAATCAAATATGATCAAAAATATCGTTTCCTTAAATAATTTTATTGATATCTGCAATAATTTCATGGATACCCGTTATAATAAATTACAAGATTGATTTTTCGTGATTCATACTGATAATATTTTGGTCAAGATAAATATTACAACATATTTTAAGTTCTAACCATAATATTAATTTATTTTTATAAATATTCATTTTTTATCCAAAAGTATTTATAGAAAATCGTAACAGGTTAAAATTTTTTCATCCAATTAGTTAGGAGAAATCAAGTTGGTTAATTAATCTTTGCCAATATAATTTTTTCTTAAGTTTTATTTCGTTATATATAAAAAAATAAATTATTCTTAAAATTAATATAATTTACCATTTAAGAGATAATGACCAGATATATTAAATAGTTTTACTAATGGCCAAAAATTAAAATTGAAATATATTAATTGTTCTTTAGAAATTTGTTTGTATATTATTGGCAACCATGATTTTTTTTAATCAATTTTTTTTTATTTTGATTTATTTCTATAATGAAATTCTTGAAAATGTATTTTCATTGCAGAGTATGCTAAATAAACTAAAAATCCTTATAATGCAAATCAGAAAAATCTTGATTGTAGATGGGATTGAATTTTTAGTATTTGCTAAATCTAAGTTATTTTATACAAAATTAAATTCTAGAAAAACATGTGTTTATATTTTGAAAAATATTTATACACTATTTAATTTTAAATTTATTTACATATTTTAAATTGATTACATAAACAAATAATACTAACGTGCATTAAATATTTTTCATTACATAAACTAAAAAGAAAAAAAGACGTACAATTTCTATAACTTTTATAAATAATAATGACATTATATGACAACACAGTTTAAACTAAAATTTTAATTAACTATTATATGATGAACAAAAATAAGTAACACTGTTATTTTCTCTTATACCAAGGAATAAATATATATACTACAATCAAATTTATATTAGTATAAATATGTTAGTGAGATAATATATTAACTATTTTACAAGCAAGCCCTAACATGCTCAACTACGCATATTTAATTCATGTTTTGGCTAAAAAAACAACGTTGATTAAAAGATGTAGAAAATATATTATAACTCTATTGTTTTTTCGACTTGATGATGATTAAAAGATGTGGAAAATAAATGATAACCCTATTGCTTTTTAGACTTAAACGGACAAAGGCTATGAAAACAACTCATTTAATATCTCTGTCACGTGCATCGCACGGGGTACGTACTAGTACTAGTAATACTAATAATAATACAACTAATAACAACTATTATTACTTGCTCAATATCCTCAAGGACAGTCTCCATCACTTGATTGGCATAACTGCGAACATGCTTGGTTGATAATATAGACGAGGGTTGAGATTAAGTTAACTTTTAGTTAGATTTTGAGTTTGAATCTTTTTCTAGTCAATTAGGACTAAATATATTATATGTCCAATTAGGCCTTAATAGTCAAGCGTCACTCAATTTTCAGTCGCAGAGCAATGCCAATCAAATGTAGGCGTATTGACACACAAAACGTGAAAAACACATTATATCCCGTCAAATACATTGTTATGCTACCCTTGGATTGAGAGATTTGAAATATATAGATTTCAAATTTACAATTTCAAATTCCCATGCATGTTGGGATGATAATAGAAGTTTGAGCATTTTAATATCACGTTAGACATATTTTAATCATTTGTTTAAAGGATTTTAAGTGAATACTCAAACATAGTCATTTGAAAGAAACTGTTCATCACATCATTGATGACCACACTATTTGCGAGTATGACTCTTCATTTATATTCATCACACCGCGAGAACACCGTCGATGCAAATTAGACAATGGATTTATAATCATTTATACAAATCCATTCAAGGAGTATGAAAGTAGAAACTTTGTATTTAAAAAAATTTGAATTCAGGGATTTTAAATCACTCAATCCAAACGTAGTTACATATTTTAATACAATACACATTGGACTTTTTCTTTACTGTTTTTTGACGACGAGCTTAGGTATAACACTTTGGATCACTATACGAGATGAAACGATCATAGACTATACGATTTTTATGTATAAAATTACCTTTTCTAAAACAACATTTCCATCTATTTTTTCGGACGATAATTTATTGAAAAACCTTATATTCAATGACAACCTTACTCTTGTTTACCAATTATACGAGTTTTTCATTTTTAATATTAACTAGTACAAAACCCTTGAACTATACATGTGTTTGAAAAAAAAATTAATTGTGAAACAAAAATTGAAAAAGAAAAAAACTTTATATTCTTATTGTAAAAGAAAAGACTATAAATAATTAATGAGAAAGTAAAAGAAATTATTTCAAATTCTATAAATTAGTTTGTATGAAATATTATTAGTTCTATTTAAGATATGTTCATTTTTTTTCAAAGTTAAAGAGAATAATTATTTTATTCGACAGTTAATATTGCGTGCGTGAGCAACATAGGTGTATAAAAAATATATTTTTATCAAAACAAAGAAGTAAATAAATTTATATTCTTATAATAGAATGATAAAAAATTAATATATAACTAATAATTAAAAAATTAACAAAGTCAATTTTTTAAAATGATACCGCATTTTACACTTCATTTATCAAAATGATATTTTTAATCCCTCTCTCTTCCCTTTCTCTCACACACAAATATATATATTATCTACAACTCAATAATTTAATTTTAAATTAATTTATTTTTTTTTTCATGTTTTATTATTTTGTGATTATATATTATATTTATATAATTTTCTTTCCTCGTCTATTATTTTTCCAAATATCTTCTAACTTTATAATATATATATATATATGTACTAGTGTAATATTTTTAAACCTTATGAATATAATGTTTGTTTTGTTTTATTTTTAATCATAATATTCATTTAGATTTATTTTTTCGCTTTCATTATCATTATAATGCTCGATCTGATCTGTAATCTTTATTTAAGTTTAGATGTACATTTTTATAATATCTTTTTTATTAATTTTATATTCATAATTAGTTCAAATATTTTTTTTTCAAATAGATGTTTATTCTATGGTACGTTAATACAAATAAAATTTTATCAAATTATAGGATAATTTATAATTTTATTTAATTTTATAATTTAGTTTGATAAATAAATGTGAATTTTACTAATAAGAATGGATATAACTGTTTTATATTTTATATATGTAATGTTGTATTTTATATATGTAATGTTGATGACAAATCAAGATCATTAAAATACAATTAATTTGATATATCGTATGAAAAATAAATATAAATAAGAAAACACATTTATAGTAATTGTTGTATGAATTAAATAATAATAGAAAATGTACTGTAAGAAAAAAAAAATTAAAATTGTTTATGGTAACTAACTGTGGAATAAAAGAAGAACAAAATCAGTCACGAATTTATGTGAATAACATAGACATTTAGTGCAATCTAAGCTTAATTATTATTGTATAATTAATATTAATTTAAATTTATATTAAAACTCAGCTATGAATCATACTCCCTCCTATTCATAATAAGTGTCGTTTTGGGAAGTTGCACACTATTTAATAATATTTTTTTTGTCAATAATATTCCTCATTAATGAAGATAGAGATGAATGTTTTAAAAAAAAGATGAAGAGAATATGAAAAGATGTAGTGTATTTATTAATTAAACGAAGGTAATAATGAAAAAATATATACAAAAGATCCAAAAGGACATTTATTTTGGTTAATAGTTGATAAAGTCAAAATGACATTTAAAAAGAATAGGAGGTAGTATATTTTTCCATATAGAATTCCCAAGCATTCCAACCTTAAAGTTCAACGATTTCAGAAATTATAGATGGGGTAGATCTTGTAATTTAATCAGTTTGATCTCAATATTTTATATCAAATAAACTAAGCAAATATTAAAATGAAAATTAATTAAGCTGAACCATTAACTGAAAATAATGTATATAATTATTAATTAGGGTAAAAAACTTTCATCTACCGAAGTTCTCATATTTACTGTGTCGTTTACTCAGAGGAACTCCACTAGGAAATATATACACGCACTTTTCCTCACTTTCTGCTCTCACATAGCAACCCCTCCCTCTACACCACATCTTCTTCTAGATCTCTCTTCCGATCTATTTTGGTTGCCGGAGGATTCGAGGGTTTCTCTTCGCTGCTCCAGATCTCTGGTGTGCTCGCTCTTACGCCGTCGATTTGCTCCCGGGATTTTATCGATCCCGATTCCTGATCTCGAGGCTCCGATCCGTCTTCCGCCATGGCGGCCGCCAACGCTCCGATCACCATGAAAGAAGCCCTCACGGTACCTTTTTGATTGTTATTTTTCAACCGAATTTCTCTCGTCATTTCGTCTCCAGCTACTTGCATATTCAGTTTGAGCTTGACAGATTTCATGCCGTTGATCATTACCTGATTGTATGTTGGTTGTTTGGCGGAATTCTTCAATGATATGTTTGATTTGGTCCTGCCTAGTTCAATTGTAGATCTATTGATCCAGTTTGGATCGAGAGTGTTTTGTGATTTGAGGTGGTGTTTAGTTGGGGGCTAATTATGGTGTGTGTGATGCTTTGATTGCAGCTGACTAGCGTAGGGATCAATCAACAGTTCATCACTTTCACAAATGTGACGATGGAATCTGATAAGTACATATGTGTACGGGAGACAGCACCTCAGAACAGCGTGGTAATTATTGACATGAGCATGCCGATGCAGCCATTGAGGAGGCCTATCACTGCAGATTCCGCGCTTATGAATCCAAATTCTCGAATTTTAGCTCTTAAAGGTGAATGAGTTTAAGTTTTTTATTTTTGTAGATTTGTTTATGTCCAGTGAACAAGTCGTTTACGATGTTTTCATGTAGCTGGGACAGTTTGAGTATATGTTCTTTTGTGATTTGCTTTTTTGCGTCATCTATGATGCATGTTTGTGGATAGAGTTATCTGCATGTGGAATGTGTTCTATTTGTGATGTAATACAATTTGAATTGTAGTTTGTTCAAGTTTGGAGTTGCTTTCTACCTTGCAGTTTAAGAGCATTAATTTTCTGCAATGGCAGTTTTCCTAGAAAGTGACCTGGGTTATTATTTTAGAGTAACGTCATAAATGTTGATGGAGAAGTAGAGGCTTTCATAAGTTGGCATATAGCTGATATTGTGAGTTATCCCACCAGGGCATCTAGGTCCAGATAACCCCAAATAGGAGTTGTAGATAGTGGTAATGTGGTACTTTTGTAATAAAGGTTTCTGATGTTATTCGTTTGTGGAAAATTTTGCCTGTAGAGTCTCTAAGTTGAGGATGACTGCATGCGTCTTATTTTCGTTGCCTTTTGTTTTGTTTCTGTTTTCCTTAAAAATAAATTTAGTCAAGCTTGTTTTATGGATGTTGTAAATGGATGTATGGACTAAAGTCAGGATTCTACTGTCAATGCCATCAATGTTGCTGCCACTTTTGGGGTTCTATTTGAGAATTAGTTTGGTTTATTTTGCAATTTAATTTGTTAAGGAAATGTGTGATTAGGTGCTACATGGTTACTCGTTTTAGAGCGTCATAGATGGGAGATGTTGAATTAGTTTTTATCAATAATAGCTTGTGACTTTTCCTACTATTGGTCCAAAAATCCAAATTCTGAAACAATTAGTTTCCTTGTTGAAGCTCAACTTCCCGGAACAACACAAGATCACTTGCAAATATTTAACATTGAAGCAAAAGCAAAACTCAAGTCACATCAGATGCCTGAGCAGGCAAGATCTTAGTATCTGAAGAACTCATTGATGCTTAATGAAACAGCTCATTGTGATGGCTCCTGTTATGCTCACATAATCTAAATTTCTGCATGTTGACAGGTTGTGTTTTGGAAGTGGATTACCCCTAAGATGTTGGGTCTGGTGACACAATCCGCTGTATATCACTGGTCTATTGAAGGTTCGGTTCACGTTTCTTGGTTCTTTAATTTTGCCATCATGATTCTCCTTTTCATTTCTGTGTGTTGTCTTGCCTTCAATTTTTTCTTCCTTGATATACCTGAGTAGGCGATTCCGAGCCAGTAAAGATGTTTGACAGAACTGCCAATTTAGCGAACAACCAGATTATCAATTATAAATGCGATCCTTCTGAAAAATGGTTGGTGCTTATCGGGATTGCTCCCGGCTCTCCTGAGGTGCGTGATTGTTATGTTGTTTCTTATATATTTTCAATTGGTAGATACAGGTTGCAGTCATTTGAAATTCAATGTTTTTTGTAAAAAGAATGTCTGTCTTGCCCTGTTGGTTTGCACAATTTTGACTGAATGAATATCCTCCTGCTGTTTCCATCGTTTTGTGCTTGTGCTGTGTTGATTCCCTTACCCAGTTCCAATGTATTATTATTATTGTAAAAAATTTGTTAGTTGTCTTCCTTTTTTTTTGTCTTACTAATGATGTTATACCTACGTATGAGGTCTTACTTGAAACACAGGATATCTGTGGACAAGCAGAACTTATTCTTCAGTTTTAAACATATTTTTGTATACAAAATAATGCATCATGAATCATTTTTGTGATCTATTTTACAAGTTGTTGTCTTATTGATCTTTGATATATTAACTTTGTCTGTTCTTTATTTCTCAACAAATCTCAATGCTGGTCTTATTAGTTTTCCAATTTATTGAAGTATCAGGGTTATTACGGTATAGTTGGCAGCATGCTTTTGTATGCATACCACAATTCATTTGCATTTGTCGCATATTTTTGTTGATATCGGTCTTATTTAAGGAGCATGGTGCTTGGAACAATTTGCATTGTTGCCTACCATTTAGTGGTGGGTATTATACCTCGTCGAGATATTAGGACAATAATTATAACTCTAGTATTGCTGTTCTTTATGGTTCTTATGGTTTTCAGACAGTCACTTCTGTTGAATTTGAGGAAACTTCTATGAGAAATTAGATCATGGCTGAGTCAGAAAAGATCTCTTACATGCTAAGAACTTGATTTTTTTTTTAAAAATAATGTCTGTAGGTGTCTCTCATTATACTATTGTACTCTTTTTGAGCTGCTTTCCCTATGTTTGGAAATTCTTATATGGGATCTTATGCTGCAACTTGGGATGCTATATTGAGTTGGTCTGATATGGTGAAGTAGTTTTTTCTCACTTCGCATGGTGTTTCCTGATGGTCTGTTTTCATGATTTTCCACGCTAATCCATCAGTTTTAATTGAAATTGTAATTATTCCCCCTCCCCGCCTCTTATCCTATCTTGATATTTTGTACTTTTGGAATTCCATCATACATATGTTTTGCAAGTGGATCAAACTTACTGAGATGAATTTCCTTCTTTAGCGTCCTCAACTGGTCAAGGGAAGCATGCAGCTGTTTTCTGTGGATCAGCAACGTAGTCAAGCTCTTGAAGCACATGCTGCATCATTCGCCTCTTTCAGAGTAGGCGGTCCTTTGATTTTTGATGAACCATTTGCTGTGCCTGTGGACGAATTCCTTATTATGTCTTCTTGTATATCCTTGAGCAGGTAGCTGGAAATGACAAGGATTCAATTCTTATTTCTTTTGCAACAAAAACTTCTAATGCTGGTCAGACTACATCTAAGTTGCATGTTATTGAGCTTGGTGCTCAGCCAGGTGAGAATATTTTCCTTCTGTAACTTATGTTTGAATGACATAGTGCTTTCATTTTTATAAGCTCTCAATATGCTTATTTGTCAGCTTATAACTTTCAACCTGTTTCAGGCAAGCCAGCTTTTACGAAAAAGCAAGCGGATCTGTTCTTCCCTCCAGATTTTGCCGACGATTTTCCAGTGGCTATGCAGGTATTTGCTTCTCTGAGTACAATAGCATTTCCCCCTTGGAATTTTATGTCTTTTTTTCTCCTTGTGTGAATTTCAGATTCTCATTTATTTCTGTATGATTTTGCATGGTTTTGCAGATATCGCACAAGTATAGTCTTATATATGTGATTACAAAACTTGGACTGCTGTTTGTATATGATCTGGAAACTGCGACAGCTGTATACAGAAATAGAATCAGCCCGGATCCTATTTTCCTGACATCAGAAGCTTCATCTGTTGGTGGTTTCTATGCAATTAATAGGCGAGGACAGGTTTTACTTGCTACAGTAAACGAAGCAACTATTATCCCTTTTGTCAGTGGCCAGGTATATTTGCCAGCTTATCTTGTACTGCGTATCCCAAAAGGATAATGGTTCATTTCAATTATTGAGTGTTGGAAGATTTATTCCAGTTGAACAATCTGGAGCTAGCTGTCAATCTTGCCAAAAGAGGAAATCTTCCTGGTGCAGAGAATTTGGTAAGTTAATTTGGGGTTCAAGAGCTATTCTTTTTTCTCATGTCTGTGACATTGAATTTAGGTCAACTTCTATGGCAAATTTTTTTTAGTAATGCTTTTGTTTGTTGAACGACTTTGTAGTGTTGAGATGAATTTTTTGAGAATTGTTTCCTTATGAAGAGCTGTGCCAAGGCCAGATTTATGAAATTTCTGTATTGATTGTGTTTATGACTCGATAAGCAGGTTAATTCGATAAAAGTTAAAAGAGTATTATGTCCATTCTATTTTTATGTATGTAATAGTATTTTTAGAAATGAAAGTATTAGAAATAAAGTTGGGGTATCGCCCATAGAGGAGAAATTGAGAGAATCACGATTAAGATGGTTTGGGCATGTGCATAGGAGAGACTTCGAGGCATTGGGGAGAAGGGTAGCAACATTAGAATTAAGAAAGCAAATTAAAAGGGGGAGGGGGTAGACCGAAGAAAATTTGGAAAGAGACAGTAAAAAATGTTTTAAAATATTTAAATTTGAATGAGGATATGTGCTTGAATCGAGCACGATGGCGACATGTGATCCATATAGCCGACCCACTTAGTGGGATTTTAACGGCTTGTTGATTGATTGATGTGTCTAAGAAGAGACACATAGTTTATGTTTAACCAATTATTGATTTCTCAGGTTGTTCAACGCTTCCAAGAGTTGTTTGCTCAGACAAAATATAAAGAGGCTGCTGAGCTTGCTGCAGAATCTCCACAAGGCATCCTCCGGACGCCTGACACTGTTGCCAAATTTCAGGTATCTCTTCCCAATTATAGATTATTTTGAACTTTTCAGTGTTAAGCATGTATATAGTTGTTAAAGGACAAATTTCTATGGAGATCATTCCCATCGCAGAATTTTACCTGCAGATGTTATGTGATTAGCATTTTTTGTGTTATTCAAAATTTTATTAACGCTTGGGGCCTTTTCAGAGTGTTCCTGTACAAGCAGGGCAGACACCACCACTGCTGCAGTACTTTGGGACACTGTTAACAAAAGGAAAACTTAATGCCTTTGAATCTTTGGAGTTATCTCGTCTGGTGGTCAATCAGAACAAGAAGAATCTAGTGGAGACCTGGTTGGCTGAGGATAAA